ACAGATGCTGGTGAAACGTTAGGAAACAAAACTTCCAGAACACGGCCACACAGCCCGGAAGACCCACCCCAGCCATATCTCCCTCTACTTGCTGCTAAGATGCTTCTCCCCTTTCTCAGCCATCAGAACCAACTACAATGGTTTCTCCAAGAGGAGAGGAATAACAAGATTATATGTTAGTCACAGAGGTAGGAGTGACAAAAAGGCACCTAGTAGTAGTACATAAAGAGAACAAATGAATAAACACATTATTTAGAGTAAGGATGTGAGCAACTTTAGTCCAGTTGAAGGGCTTTGAGCAAAGTCCCCAAAGCACTGTCCCTTCTCTGGCTGCAGATAGAAAGTCTGCTGCTAGAGAAGGGACAGTGCTTTGGGGACTTTGCTCAAAGCCCTTCAACTGGACTAAAGTTGCCCACATCCTTACTCTAAATAATGTGTTTATTCATTTTGTTCTCTCTGGCAGCAGACTTTCTATCTGCAGCACCTGCAAGGAGAGCTTGGTTGTAGCTACCTCGTGCTGGCGGAGGTGGAAACAAAGACTTAGCCTGCATAGAAAGCCTTACAAAGGGATTGTGTCTCCCACATTATGGAAAAGAAGAGGCAGGACATCTGCTTCCTAAAACCCCTGACATTATCCAGCTCAGGGGCAGGTATGGAACTGACTTGTTCCTTATCTTTTTCTTAGAAGTAGGAAGAGACATGTTGCATATGCTTGCTTAGAATGAGCATGCTTAGGTGACAAAGCCATGCAGTGCATAACTTTTATGGATACCATGCCTGCAGATATAATGAGCAAACTACTACAATGAAATATATATCCTAAGTCAGATTTTCCCTTTCAAGGGACATTCTCTAAGGATTTACTTCATAAAGGAAACCTGAATTTTGTGCATTTCATTATATCAGTCATAGGCAAACTTTGGGGACTGGTAGGCATCTTTTCATTCTGGAGGGGGGGGGGGGAGTTACTGTATTGGCTGCTGCGGGGAGGGCTTTCCCATCTGCAAATGAGTGCTGTAGTAGGTCTGGCCAGCCACAAAATACCCATCTACTAGAAGGTAAACTGGGGAGGACGCTCCTTGCCATCTTCACTACCTCCCTAGGATGTTCTTTAGCATACTAGCCTATCTGTGCCTTTTTCTAGGCAGGTGAACATACATCTAAACAAAACACTGGACTGCAGCTACCCATTACTTTCATTTTCTAATGCCTGTTGGGCCAATGTTGGGCCCAGAATAACTACTGAGAACAGAGGTAATGTTGGAGGCTGGTGCTATGCTTTGTATCATGCAAGCACTCCTTTTAATTTAAAAATATGAAGACAGATGGTGAAGGAAATCAGATAAATGCTAAGAGATTGTCACGCCCTGCAGTATACAATGCAGAGCACCCAGAAAAGTTTGCTGCTTCTGACTTTAGAGTATCCATCAGCCTCAAGATTGTCTTTTTGGGATTCACCCTTCAATTGTTTAACCCATCCATACAACCATAGTTACTAGATGCTAGTTCAGAAGAGAAACTAATCCTTCCCCAGTTTTCTGGAGAAAGAAATAAAGAGGCGAGTATCTTCATTCCTGGACAATTTCATTCAGCAACTTCATTTCAAAGTAAAATAACAAATTACAATATTTAACCCTGTGTAAAAGAAAACTTCTAGGGCTTAAGCAAGCGTCACCAATTATTACTTTAACAATAGATCAGACAAGAGAATGGAACTAAAAGACACAGATATTTTGTTTGTTATTCAAGTCAATACGAATTGTAAAATCCTGGAAGCTGTCAAAAGCCCAATGGGACCAGTAGGAAAGTATCCTCACACCCACAGCTGGCCTTCACATAACACAGATGGGTCCTTAATTAGCCAATACTTACAAATGTTTTTAATTACAGTTTCAAATTACAGCATTAACTCAGTTTGGATTCTGTGGCATGGAAGAGTTTTACAGGGTTAAGGAACAGAGAAAAACACATGGGGAGCAATAATCAAACGCTCAGATTTTCCCACCTGTGAAACTACTTCATTGTTGCAAGTCTCTGGATTTGTTTTGGGGAAGTCTGTAAGAAATTCCTGTTGAAACAATGAAGTGTCTGCCTCTGTGAAAACAGCCTGCGGGTTTGAGCTTGGTTTCATATATAGTATAAAAGGATTTAACTCTTTGAAGCCCTGTTAAAGTAAAAATAAAGAAATATTTTATGGCTTCCAGTCTGATCTTAGAAATTAGTTGCAACACAGGATGAAACATTATTTTCATTTGCTATTATCTTACAGCTCAATTTCATAACTTCAGACCTAGTTATATGATGTTACCTGTACCTGAAGGCAGAGTTATGACCAGAACACTAATCTGTTAATTAGGTATAATGCCACCCCATAGGTAGGCTTGCTTACCTATCACTGATTTTTGATTTGTAGTTTATTAGAAAATTGGTCTGTTTTAAAACATAATTTTATGGAACTTGTTTCTTTATACCCAGGTTACATTTTAAACTACATTTTTTAAAATAGATAACTGATACATGTTGTTGTTGTTATTATTATTATTATTATTTGTACGAACCTCTTTTTATTTTGCCATTTTGTAAGAAAAAAACTTGCATTTCCAATGTGGATTTCTTTGAAACAATGTCAGATCCCCTTATGTTCTTCCTGTTTCAATTTCTTTTTCTTTCAGCCCAGCACAAGCCAGTCCAAGAATCCCCTGCTGTAATTCAGCATTGTAGCCCTACCCCACCCTCACAGCTTGTCTTCCTTTTACCTTGGAAGGAATGTTCTCTCTGCAAATGAGTGCGTGACCTTCTAACCTCAAAACATTGTGCAAGTAGATGTCATCATCAGAAGTGGTATCACAGAGGAAGAGGTGAAGGATGTCATTTATATATTCATCTACCACTCCCACAAGCAATTTCAGCTCACACAGTCTTTGGAATTCATGTATGGCACTGACAGACCAATCACCCTTTATGCAGGGGGGAAAAAAGAGGACAAAACAGAAAGCTAAATAAATGCAAAGGTTAGATTCAGAATCAGGAAAGCACAAGTTCAAGTCTTCTCAGTCATGGAAGGCTTTGGAATACTTTCTGTTTTTCAGACCACTGTTATTTTGGGAAAACCTGGAAGAAAGTATTATGTGTTATGTATGTTACCCTCAGCCCCTGGAGGAAAGGAAAAGGATATAAATTTAATAAATAAACATATTTGCTTTCATTGTTTTTCTTGATTTCTTACCAGTCTTTTTAAAAAATATTGCAGCTTCAAATTTAACTTCTTGACTAGTTAATAAAACACCTTTAACTTTTCTTCTCTTTTAGGTGCTTTTAAATTTTGACTGACCCCATTCATTCCCTGAGTTATTCAACCATTCCAATGTTTAAATTCTGATGCTAGCATTGCTCTGAAAGTATGGCAAACCTCTTCTTTCCTAATGTTGCAGCTGTTCTGTAAAGTATTTAAATCTAAAAAAATCCAGATACTAAAATACAAAATAAGTAAAATACTGAAATCAATATACAAACTACATGAAACTACATCAAAATCATCCTCAGTATTTCCCTGTTCTGTTTGTCTTTCCTTGACTCTTCCCTTCATTTAATATCAACCCAATTCCTCCCCTTTCTCAATGCAGCTAACCCAACTCCATCCAGTTTTAGTCATCTACTTCTATTTTTGTGCTGGAAGGGGGCAGAGGGAGAAAAGATGTGTGTGTGAGACAGAATAGCTGATCTAGGCAGATGGAATCAATTGTTTTTTTTTTCATTTACTTAAATGTTTTATCCTGGCCTTGCCCATTTTGGAATGTGGCTTCTGATATATATACACACATATAGAGGTACAGTGGTACCTCGGGATACAAACACCTCTGCTTACGAATTTTTCGAGATACGACCAGCTCTGGCCCCAAACATTTACCTCAGGTTGCGAACTCCGCCTTGTGTTACGAACCGGCTCCGCGGCCATTTTCCCTGCTGCCACGCAGTCGCGGCTTCCTGTGGGCGAGATCGCGGTAGCAAGGAGACGTTCGCTGAGGCTTGTGGTGTGTTTTGTGGCGTTTGGAAGGTTTTTGGTGTGCTTGTCACCATGGCTCCAAAGAAAATGCAGAGCAGGCTTGGCAAGAATAAGGCTTTGAAGAAAAAAGTGACGATCTTAAGAAGGACATTATAGAAAAGCACGATTGTGATATTCGTGTGACTGATCTGGCCTCGGAGTACAAGATG